TTGGATCCCTTCCATTTATGGCCTTCATTCTAACATTCTAACAGTACAGAGCATCTGGTGAGATGTTACCCAGTGTCCTCTAAACTTCCTTTTGTGCTTTTAATTTTTATTTATTTTTGAGAGAGAGACAGCGTGTGAGCAGGGGAGGAGCAGAGGGAGAGGGAGACACAGAATCTGAAGCAGGCTCCAGGCCCCCAGCTGTTAGCACAGAGCCCTCGAACTCACCAACTGTGGGATCATGACCTGAGCCGAAGTTGGATGCTCAACCGACTGAGCGACCCAGGCGCCCCCCTTTTGTGCTTTTAAATGAATCATTGTCATCTCTGAATCAAGGTCTTCTTTTCTTAGCAAGGTTGGAATAATGCAAATTTCACTTATTGTAAATCGAGATTTGCAAAAGTAACTTCTCAAGATCTGAGAAGTCCTTACTCTTTTTTCCTTTTCATTTTTTTTAAGTTTTTATTTAAATTCCAGTTAGTTAGGGGCTCCTGGTAGGCTTAGTCAGTAGAGCTTGTGACTCTTAATTTCAGGGTTGTGAATTCAAGCCCCAGGTTGGGTGTGGAGCCCCACATTAAAAAATAAAGAGGGGCCACCTGGGTGGCTCAGTCGGTTAAGTGTGTAGGATTTTGGCTCAGGTCATGGATCTCACTGCTTACAAGTTTGAGCCGCCTTCAGGTTCTGTCCTGACATCTCAGAGACTGGAGCCTGCTTCAGATTCTGTGTCTCCCTCTCTCTCTGCCCCTCCCCCCAACACTGTTTCTTTCTGAAATATAAACATTAAAAATTAAAAAAAAAAAAAGATAAATTCCAGTTAGCTAACATACAGTGTAACACTAGTTTTAGGTATACAATACAGTCATCCCACAGTTCCAAAAAACACCCACTGCTCACCACAAATTCCCTCCTTAATCCCCATCACCTATTTAACCCATTCCCCCACCCACCTCCTCTCTGGTAACTATCAGTTTGTTCTATACAGTTAAGAGTCTGTTTCTTGGTTTGCCTTTCTTTTTCCCCCTTTGCTTGTTTTGCTTTTTACACTCCACATGAGTGAAATCATATATTTGTCTTTCTCTTGATTTCCTGACTTCGTTTTGTAATGACTTAAGTAGCTAGGTTAAGATCAAATCTGACCAAATCCTAGGAAAAGGGCCTTCTGGCTAAATGTCCAAACCTAGCTGTTGCAGAATTATCTAGGAAGCTTTAAAAAAAATTCTTGGACTCAGTCTTAGGGAGTAATTGTGGTATACAGCTAAGTGCAGAAAAATAAGATACCTCTGATCAGCGAGCTATTCATGTCCAAAAGTGCTTTTTTTACCCACACTTAATCTAACTAAAAAAACAAACAAAACTGATCCATTCATTCATTCATGTTCAGCCTAGAGGACACAGGAAATGTTATCAAAAATTCACTCTTCATTCGCTAAATTTATTGTGCACCAGGTAAGGGCTGGTTACCAAGTCACAGGCCCTGTCCAAAATAAGGAACTGTGCTCATGCATGGCTTTGAGAGTCAGACATCCGTACAACCTACATCCAGAGCCATCACATCCTGGGTAACTGTGAGCATGTCACTTAAGCTTGCAGGGCCTCAGTGTTCTCATCTATAAGGGAGAATATCACTTACTTCATAGGGTTCTGTGACAGAGATCATAAAGTGTTGAGGAAGACTTACACTCCATCCTCCTAAAGCAGTTTCTAGCTCATTTCCAGTCCAAACACTTGCATACTGAAATAATCACAGCTAGTACTCACTGAGCAGTTAACCTGTATGCCAGGCAGTGTTATGCTATCAGTCCAGCCACATGTCAAATTTTAACTGTGAAGGCCTGGAGGCCAGCAGCCTCCTCGATTGGCTGTACTTATCCTCACTCCACTAACCAAAATAGACAAAGCAAGCTGAAACAACAGGACGAGGACTTTTTTTTTTTTTTTTAAGATTTTATTTTTAAGTAACCTCTACCCCCAACATGGGGCTCAAACTCCTAACCCTGATATCTAGAGTCACATGCTCTACCGACTGAGTCAGCCAGGTGCCCCAGGACAAGGACTTTTAATCTAGAGGTGACCATAACAAGAGGGCTGAGCTTGAAAGCCACAGGATGTAATAAAAAGATGTGCCCCTCACCACCCCCCACCCCACATCCTCCCTTCAGAGGTCATCATCACAACCAAGGGTCATGATGGCAGAACCTCCAAGAAGGAAGCCAAATACCAGATAAACTTATCTACGAACGGCCATGGATTTAATGGTGCCATTTGCTGCTACTACTAATGTATTGATCACTATCACTGCCATCAAATAATTAAGTCTTTATATGTCCCAGATACTGTTGTTCTGTGGAGTTTACACTTAGTCCTCAAAAACTCTAAGTTACTAAAGGTACCACTGACGCTCACCTTTTACAACTAACAGCCAAGATAAGGCAATTACTTACTGAGAGGACACAGCCTGAGACTCTTGTAACAGAACTTACTGCCAAATTAACTTCTACTTTTAGGAGACCCTTATGGGCTTCCAGAACCTCCTCCTATATGGTTAGAGTTAATTGCAACTACATTTTACTTCACAGGATTAAAGGTGTCCTTTTAAAATGGACCATGGTTTTAATTCTCTAAGAGACAACAGTGAGAAGTGCCTGCCCACATTAGGCAAAAACATATCACCTGAAATAAGCAACATTTCACCTAACTTGAAACTTTCAACTTTTTTTTTTTTTTTTTTTTTTTTTTTTTTGAGGGAGAGTGGGAGAGGGGCAGAGAGAAAGGGGATCAGAGGATCTGAAGCAGGCCATGTGCTGACAACAGCAAGTCCGAAGTGGGGCTCAAATTCACAAACTCTGAAAACATGTCCTGAGCCAAAGTTGGATGCTTAGCCGATTGAGCCACCCAGGTGCCCCAAAACCTTCAACTTTCTTTAAAAAACAAAAACAAAAAACTTTAATTAATGTTTATTTTTGAGAAAGAGAGAGTGAGTGTGAGTGGGGGAGGGGCAGATAGAGAGGGAGACAGAATTCTAAGCAGGCTCCAGGCTCCAAGCTGTCAGCACAGAGCCCGACGTGGAGCTTGAATTCATGAACCTTGAGATCATAACCTGAGCCAAAGTCAGACGCTTAACTGACTGAGCTATAGAGCGCCCCCAAATCTTCAAATTTCTAAGGATTATACCTACCCTAATGCAATTGTAGAGGTTAAAAGTAAGCAGGCCAGGGGCACCTGGGTGGCTCAGTCAGTTAAGCGTCCAATTTCGGCTCAAGTCAGGATCTCACCATTTGTGAGTTCAAGTCCCGCATCAGGCTCTGTGCCGACGGCTTGGAGCCTGGAGCCTGCTCTGGATTCTGTGTCTCCCCCTCTCTATGCCCCTCCCCCACTTGCACTCTCTCTCTCAAAAACAAATAAACATTAAAAAAAAAAAGTAAGCAGGCCAGTACAACCCATCCTAAGCCACATTATTCCTTTGTCTATAAATGATCAAAATCAAAAGAATTCCAGTGAGCAGAAACGTCCACACTACTGAGGTTTTTCTGTTGTAGGAGGCAGTCCTGTGCGCTGTGGGAGGTTTAACAGCATGTCTAACTTCTGCCCACTAGATTCCAATAGCATTCCCCAGTTCTGACAACCAAAAATGTCTCGAGATATTGCCAAATTGCCCTGGGGGCAAACTCATCTCTGCTTGAGAAACACTGCTTGAGAGGAACTGATTCAGAGCTACCATGACTCTGTTCTGCATACCAAAAACCGACAGCCTTTTGAGTTTACTTCTCTAGCTCCCTGAAATAAAGTTCACATGTTGTTTAGCTTTGTACCTTCTTAATTTATAGTAACAGAAATGTCCAGTTTATGGAATTGTGAAATATTATTTAAGCAACAAAAGGTCTTACAGGGCTGCTCTAATTCCTAGGACTTCCAGTCTGCTAGGTGGACATCCTAGTCTGGCTAAGACCAAAGCTGGTCCTCTCAAATGAACTGACCTGTCTCCAGAGGAGACGCCACTGGAGTGGGAAGGCGAACCTTCCTTACCTCGTGGTTTAACTCTAGGTCACAATGGGACCCTCCCAAACCACCAGATGTTGTTCAAATTCAAATCAGAGACCACATTCTGGCTGCAAAGGTCTGGCTACAACACAAGTTAGACAGCAAGGAGTCATGCATTTTCTGGTTTCTTATCACTTATACAAGTCGGGCTAGAACGCTGTGCCCTTCTCCCTTGATTAAAGAGGATAAAGTGTGCCACCATCCCAAGCCAAATTAAAGAGAAAGCGTGAATCTGCTGATCAAGAAAAGCGTTATTATACCCTTGCTAAGTTTGTTTAAACAAGTCACTTAGATGAACTAGGAAAAAAATTCCTCTGAAAAACAGGAGGCACAGTGTTGACTTATCTTAAAAGGCCTTTTAAGAATGACTTGAAATTACAAAGCATTTTTCAAATACACAAAGTGCTTCATAACAACTCAGTAAGCTTTAAGGAATGCTTCTTTTAGTACATCACTTTTTTTGTTGTATAAAAGAAAATACCCCAATTCAAAGGGTGGTAGCATATTTGATATCACCCCTGTTTAAGAGGAATGGAGTTACAGGAATGAGAAGTATATAATTAGTAAATAATCCCTCTCAACAAGTGAGTTAAGTAGGACAGCCGTAAAGGGGGAAAAAAAGAAACTGGAGGCAACACAATCAGTGCATATCAGAAATGCATTTTTATTTTTATTTGAAAACAACTTAAATTTTTAGACAAATGATTTTAGTATATAAATTGGATTTTGTTTTTATACAGAATATAAAGATTTCCCTCATTGATCTTCCATGTGAAGGGTATTACAAGCCTGAAGGGAGATACTTTCTGCACACAAGTGTGTATCTCACACGTAGGGGACTGGAAACCAATGGTGTAGTGCTTCTACACATAAATTAGGACAAGTGACATCACATATTAAAAAGGGGTAAGAGAAATATTCTAGTTAATCAGATTCAAGAAGCAAACAGGACACAAAAACTGTGCAGATAAGACCAAGTCAGTAACTTTAGTTAGGACACTGCAGATCATACTGGAGTAACAGGTTTGTGGGGTTATAGCGTGTACCACATTAAAACAGCAAGGAAGAGCGAGAAAGGCTGGAACAAGGGATTTTCACTAAAGCAAATTAACTTCTTGTCAACTGCCAAAACAAAACAAAACAAAACTGAGCATATGAATGTTAGTATACTGAAGGCATGTTATACCAGTTTCTGTGCAGCATGCTAAAAGTTAGATAGAACTTCTTCACTGGTGCATACGAATCATTAATAGTCACAGGAGGTTTTTTTTTTTTTTTGCCCCTTCTCACCAAATTTCAGGCATGTCTTATTTTAGATGGAGTATAGCTTTTATCTATAATTTCGTCCTGTAAAAACATGTGAAGACAACGTTCATTCTGTGCCAGAGGATGACCAGCGACCCTAGGAATAAAAATTACAAATTTAGTCCCAATACTTTATAAAAGTGGGGTCAGGAGTCACACACACATATTCTATAGTTAAAAAGCATGTATGATTTAGCAATAATAAGTGTTATTCTGGACTGCCCATTAGGCTATGCTCTATCAACTAATGGGAAATTTCCTTTGGTTCACAAGGGTCATTTAGAAAACATTTAATCACTGTATTTGCACTGCTTCTGGCACATGTACCCAATAAACTTCTTTATATAGCAGTTTGTACATTCACAAAAAACCTAAATGAATTTTAATGTTAAAAGTGAAACATGTCATTAATTCTAAGAACCCATTTTAAAGAAGGAAAAGATATAGGATCAAAATTAGAAATATACTGAATTTGAAAAAAAAAAATACACTGAAGTTCAATAAAAGCCCAAAACACTAAGAAAGAGTGTGTCCAGGTTTTTCTTCTTTTTCCTTTTTTTGGCCTGCTTTAAAGGTTCCCATTGCAGACTAAACACAAGATCAAAATGGGTAACCAGACTTCTATTTCTGAATTCAAAAGTACCTCAGCTAACACTACCTTCTCCAAAAGGAAAGCGTGTTCATAAAAGACAATGAAGGCTATGTGCTAAACTAAAAGTTAAAGGCTTTGTACAACTTTCCCTCCTGTTTACCACTCACCGATCTTCAAATTACTAAAAACTGAAGTTGTTGGTTAGTATGTAACCTCGTACAACTATATTTTTCAGCATTTGACTTCATTTGGTCAAATTTAAGGCCAATGCACAATTTATAGCAAGCCCCTTCCTGACATCAGCTCTGTTACTTTGGCTTTTAAAAATGGCTATATTTCAAATTAAGAATAAAATTAAAAGCTAGAAATTTTGGTTTAAGAGTTCCTAAAGTAAAAGATAAACAATTGAAAGTCTTCTTACAGTTTGGAAAGAAACATTTTGCTGTGAAAATTTTGAATGTGCACCTTTACACAAGACATGCTGATAATACCTCCATTTGCAATCAAACAAAATGATTGCAAGTGTACCGCAAGTTTTATTGTTCATGCTAGAACATACCTTAAATGAGAAAGAATCATAAGTAAAACTATTTTTTAAATGCTGCAATTTTAAATGTAATTTGCATAAATTAACCAAGAAAAACAAATACAAAACTTAGGTCAACACAAAGATACTCATTTTAATCACTCAAGTGTGTTAATATTTATCACATGATATTCAACTTGTTATATACTTTTACTTTATTTAAATGATACAAAATGTTAGTTAGGAAATGGCCAAAAAAGAAAAGCAATACTACAGTTTAGCTTAATATCTAAATTTTGAGTATTTGCTTAAAGTTGTCTCAGAACACTATTCGCTCTTATACCTCTTGAGGTACAGAAAGTACTTACTTGTTTATAAACTGCTCCAGCCCTTGCTTCCTTTCTTCAATAAAATTATCATCAAATATTCCATCATCTCCTCTGAAAGGAAGCTGACGCAAAAATGCTTTTCCAGGGAGCGGGGGAACTACAACCTAAAAAAACATAGGAAAGTTCTTGAAGATGCTGACTGGGTTGTGAAAATTTATAGAGCACAACATGAAGACAAAGTATATGTTCACTGTGACAGCTATTCCACTGATTAACTAGTTTAAATAAAAAAATCAGTAAAGAACACATTGAAAAAAAAACCACACTAAAAAACAGTCAATGTTTTGGAGGCAAGATAACCAAAAGTAGACAGAATAAATAGCCCATTAGATCAATGCTCCTTAATGGCATGGCCCATAGCTTAAGGTTTTCCTGAACTTATTGAAGCATAAGTATACAAAAAGAGCATTCAAGCAATGCTGAAATGAAGCCTATGATGCCTCCAGTTTTGATGCCACTCAGGGAAGACCATGCTTTATTACAATGAAAAACTACAGAGATCAAAATCAACTTTCAATTAATGAAGAAATAAAATATTAACAACATTCTCTCCAGCATGGGCAGATAAGAATTCTGTGGTCTATTTCCTCCACCTCATACCATCTTCATACAGTCTTTCCTACTTGTGTTTGAGGTGATGATAAAAAAGTCAACAATTCTGTCACCATGCTTCCATTTTTTTTTTTTCTTAATGTTTACTTGAGAGAGAGAGACAGCACACATGCAAGTAGGGGGAGGGACAGAGAGAAAGATAGGAGAGAGAGAGAGAAATCCCAAGCAGGCTCCACACTGTCAGCAAAGAGCCTGACGCAGGGCTCCATCTCCTGAAGCATGAGATCATTACCTGAGCTGAAATCAAGAGTTGGATGCTTAACCGACTAAGCTGCTCAGGTGCCCCACACTTCCTTTTTCTATGTTAAGAAACATGTCCACATTCTCCCAAATCTACTACTCCATCTTTCCCCAAAGACCTGTCATTTCTTTCTTCCTACATAGCAATATCCTATTTTTCCCCTTCAAAGTCTAACTATCCTCTAGGGTCAACTTATACTGATCTCTTCTAGGAATTATCTAGAGCTCAAATATTTGAGTTAAATAGCACCTAGCTACTTACTTCTCAGGTTAGTTAGGGTTTCTCGCCCATGGCACTATTAACATTTTGAGTCACATTATTCTTTGTAGAGGGGGGAGAGTAGGGGAAGGAGTTTCTTGGTGCACTGCAGAATGTTTAACAGCATCCCAGGCCTCTACCCACTAGACTGGGTAGCACCCAGTAGTGACAATAAAAACAGTCTCCAGACCCTGTCAAATGTCTCCTGGGGGATAAAACAGGCACTGGTGGAAAACCAACTTATCCTACTAATGCCTTCAAATCAAGGATCCTGTCTCAGGCTTCCTATGGTTATTTAAAGAAAAGTTGGGCACACAACACAACAGACACTCAAATATCTGTTAAATGACTAACCACTTAGCGGGATCCATATCTTACACCAAAACAGAGAGAAGGTGTAAGTGACAAATCAAACAAGAAGAAATATAAATAGTAAACAGAAGTAATTGTACATACCCTAAAAGAGGAAAAATTTTAAACCCCTGATGCAGTTTCTATCCCAAAACAATAACCCAGCTGGGTAAAAAAAGGGAAAGAGCAACACAACTTCATAAAGAATAGCAAAGAACAAAATGACAGCAAAAAAGAAACACAAAACCAAATACCCAACATAAAATTCATGATTCCTTCCTAAATGTAGTCTTCTCTCCAGGACCAATGATTAACACATCTAGAGATTTGTCTCTGTAACTCTGCCTCAGTATTCTTGAATCTCTCTCCCTACATTGATATTTGTGAAGTAGAGTGTTAAAACCTGCAGAGACCTTACAACTGAGAAACACATCATGACCATTAACAGAGCTCCAGCAGAATGGCTTTTCTGAAGGACAGGGGAAAACATCTGTATCTATGAAACTACTATTAAAAAAAGAATCTAGAACCAATGCACTAAACAAACGATTACCATTAATTCAGGACATAATTCAGCATGAAATTTAAGATCAGTATGTATTATCTGCAGAGATATATTCTTCCTAACATAATATTCAAAACAGTCACTGAAATGGATGGTGAGGTTGTAGGTAACAGGATTTAATGATCTACAAAAATCTTGAGTGGCTTGCCCAGCTAAGAGTCCAAAGATCCTCTTCAACATCAAATTAGTTTTGCTGAACAAGTCTGGAAAGATCTAGTTAGAATTTTTTTATTTTTTTTATTT